TGGTAAGGGAACTGGAGGAAAGGCCCAGACCACCTTAAATACCAGCATCGTGTAAGCTGCTGATACATCATCTGAGACAAGCAAAGGCAGGATGTGTGGGGCTGCAGTTTTACAAGTCTAGTAAATGGGCTGAGAGGCTTCTGAAGGTGTTCAAAAGTTATTTGAATTTGTTCTAGCTTCCATTTAAGTGACACTGTCAGACTCCAGAACTGGTACCTTTTGTCAAATGCCTTTCAGCCTCAACCCTGTAGCACAGAAGAGAAATAGCACACACTTGTTTGAGTAATGTCTTCACGCCTTCCTCTTTACAGCAGCAGCAAATTCAGTTCACTAAGAATTACGATTAGTCCTTGCTGCAGTTTTTTTTTTTAGACTCTTTGCACATTATTGTAGTGTTGCATAAGAAATACGCTTTTGCTCCTTGGGTAAAATGTGTGAAAAGCAGAATGAAGAGCTAGTGCTCTGCTCTGAGTCTCTTGGGGTACCTCCTCAGAAGACTGCAAAGGCAAGCTGCGGAAAGGAGACCAAAGTGGGGAGACTAGTAAGGAATTCTTAGCAGATCTGTGCTCCGGGACTTTCGGGGTGCAGGCAATAAAGGGAGAATGAGCACTGAGATCCAGAGTGATCAAATCAGCCATCTTCTTTCCTTTGAGCTCTTCCTCTTTGAACGTTCTTATCTTTGACTGACTTCCTTCAAGTTCATGCAGATTCTTGTTTTACCTCAGAAGTGCTGTTACTCCAGTTCTGCTGGAACTAATCAGGTGTCATCTCTTGTTTATTCTGAATAATGCTGAAAAATACTTTTAGAGAGCCTTTTCTCTAATCCAACCTTGAAAATTGTTCCTATTGCCAGAGAGCACATCAAATAATTTTCCCTCTTCCATCTTTCTAATGCAGCTCAATTTTTGACATTTTATTTTCAATTTTTTAATTCTAAAACTGCACACCATTGTCAGTATTACAAACGTTGAGGTAGGAGTCAGAGCATGGAAAATGTACAGCTCACACACTAAAAGCAGCTGGTTATATCCTTATATTCTCAGCAACAAAGGTTGACCCGAGACAGGAAAAAAAACATTTAAAGTCCAGAGGGCTTTCCAGTCAGACTGTGAGAATTTCAAAGTAGGTCACTCTGGCTGATGGTGTCATGTTAAGCCTTGCTCCGAGATGGTTTTAAAAAGAACTCAGGAAAGTCCTTTTCCACTCTTTACATTCTTTTCAGACTAACAGAAAGGACAGGGCTGTCATTTGAAATAGAAGTGGAATGTCTCAAAGATAATCCTGTGAGCTGGGTGACTGCTTGTATGATAAAACCACTTCTGTGCATCAGAAAAAAGGTGAAAATCTGTATTTGTCACTCAAAATACTGTGGCATTTCAGACTCATTAAAGTTGTTATGAATCCTGACTGGTGGGTGACACTGGAAATATCATGAAAAAGCATCTCAAATTATAATGATTGTGATTTTGTATTATACAATTGAGGCACATTTTAGAGGAAGATATTAATGGCTTCAGTGGATGATCTAAGCAGCGTGAAAAAAGTGGACGAGACAGATCTTTTGTTTAGCTGTCTCAAGCAATGGATGCTGGAGCGTAGGAGCAAATCACGGGGAAGAAATGTTTACACATGAATAGACTAGAATAGACTATACCCTGAAAAGCAGCAAACAACTTACAGCTCGCTTTGTTTTGTTTGCCTTAAAAATAAAAAAATCAAATACCTTTAATATAAAAATACAGGAAATGACTTGTCTAATAGTTTACTTCTAGCTCATCCTTCAGTGATGACCTGTACTAAAGGATCACCTGCAGGGCTGTACGTGTGCACCAGTGTTTTAAGTTTCATCTTGATAAATTTCTCAACTTAGTGAGTGCAGAAGCCTGCCTGTTTTGTCGCTGCATAAACAGGTGTGCTCAAAAGTGAATGGAATGCCACGAAAAACAGACCTGCTCAAGAGAACAGGTAAATTTCACAATCTAGGTTATTTTTTAAATAAGTACTTAAAACCTAGTGGTTTGACAGGTACCAAAGCACACTCAGGGTACTGACCTGGAAAAAGGTGGTGATGAAAGAAAGGACACTCTCCCTTAAAAGTTTAAGGCAACATCTGTTTTTGTCAGGTGCTCAGTAAAACCATGCTTATCACTTCAAAGGTAAATCACAAAATCAGAATGTGAAAGACTTCACTGAGTACATCCTCCCATCACATTATTCTTCAAAACATTCTTTTTTAGTATACTGTCTCAGTTCAACATCTCGAGTCATTTATTTGACTGCTGGAAAAATACAAACCAATGTAAGCAAAATATTCTGGTTACATCCACATAGTACTTTTCTACTGAAATATTATTTAACCCAAATTGATAAAGATATAGTATTCAGTTTTCCTAGGACAAGATGATTGCGTCTGAGATCAGATGGAGTATCCCTATGCTCATATTCTGTCCTATTTCACACACCGAATCACAGAATGGTCGGGGTTGGAAGGGACCTCTGGAGATTCTCTCATCCAAACCCCTGCCAGAGCAGCTTCACCTAGAGTAGATTGGACAGGAATGCACCCAGGCAGGTTTTGAATGTCCCCAGAGAAGGGGACTCCACAACTTCTCTGGGCAGCCTGTTCCAGTGCTGTTCCCTTCCTACACTGTATGGATGTAAATACTTTCAGTCCACATGTGATTTTTTATAGCTTCTTTTACTTTAGGGTAAGATACTTTATTCAATACCCACATAATTTGAGGAAGACTGTGAACCCTCTAGTAAGAAGTATCTCAGAAAAGCAATCTTTGTCTTGAGAATGCCCCTCAACAATTTTAAACATTATCCCCTGAGGCTTCTAATACTGTATTGTTCAGCCTCTGCTAAAAGGTACTGCTATGAGACAACACATTTTTCTGACAGGTTTAACACTATATATTCTGCACTGAGTTTCAGAGAAAAAAAAAAGATCCATACAAAAAAGTAACTAAAATCATTTATGTCTGAAAACATTAACACGTCATAGGAACAATATGAAACAGTTATTGCTGTGTTCTATGACTCATTTGGCAGTAATAGGACATTTAAGATACCTGATGCAGAGCTCTACTCCAATGTGGGCAGAAAGGCTTTTTGATGAAAAATAAAGATGAAATTAAAGTAAAAATAAATCCAGGATGTAATGATTGGTAGGTGAAAACACTACACTTTTCTTGACAATCTTTGTTTGAAAAATAAACGGGCTTTTAACCAGGTATTATATTCTGAATGCCAGCACAGAACATCAGAAAAAAATGCTTTAAACAAATAGGGCTTTTTTACAAGCTACTGAATGCTTTCACTGGCGTCCAGGTCTTTAAAACTGAAAACCGCTCATTATCAAGTGTATAGAGCCAGTACCCGATCCCCAGTAATCCGCACTGAGGAGCTGTTCTTCTGGGTCGAAGTGTGTGTACCCCATGTCAAGTAAGTACGTGTGTGTGTCTCTTCCAGCAGCCAGACAGGACTACTAGAGAAGAGTACCCTTATTCCACCCAAAGCGTAGAAGCCAGAGGAGCACAGTGTTTGAGTCTGCTTACCAGTTGTGTTTTCCCATGTTCCTCTCTTTCCCGTGTTGAGGTAATGTGAGCTGTTCAATACAGCATAAATACCGATGAATGTCAAGCTTTGCTTGTCTTTTCAGCTGCCACGGGGCTTTCTTATTTTTGTTCACATTGCTGTATGGGTTTTTTTTATACATTCTGTACAAGTGGATTTGCAGACTGTACCACTTCTACTTACCCAGAAAGATATCTCAAATCTGTTAAATTACAGGGTGGCAGAAAATAGATTTTGCATAATAAACCTTATTTCAGGGATAGTGAAAATTTCATTTCTAAATAACAAAAGATGGCAAAGTCACACCACATGTGACAGCAGAATAGAGACCATAATAGTGTAAGACACAGACGGACCTTTCTGTCCTCTCGTATTTGGACTAAAAAAAGTTACCATGTACAAAGCTGATACATGATTTCTCTTTCCTAACCAAAATAGTATTTTTCATGCTCTATTTCATTATTTTTATGATGTATGAACTATGCTTCTATGATTAAACATATTCAGATGTTGACTACAATTATAAAGCATTTAAATACAATTCATGAGTGTATTGAGAGCAAAAAATGCAAAATAGCTGAAACAAACGTAATAAACAATGAAAATCCAGGAGAACCGGTTACATAAAATATTGGAAGGTTCTTCCTGTCTACGAGGTAAACTAGCCTGAACAAACTTCGAGCTTCACAGCTCAGGATTTTGAGCTAAGGATACGGAAAAGTTACCCTGGTTGCTAGTGTTATTCCGAAATGTCATTCCTGTTGCTCAGTTATGCTCTGTCTACTGCCTCAGAGAAAGGCGATTGCTCTGACAGATGACCTTCCTACCCAAAGCAATTCCCTCATAACTTCTTTTCACAACTTCCTTTCTATGCCCAAAACCTCCTGTTTCTGAATTGTCAGTATTGGTAACTCCATTTCATAAAAAAGTTCATAATGTTTAAAGCCCAAATTAAACTCCACAGTGCTAAGCTGGTAACAAATCTGAGAGGAGATTATTTTGGGGGTGTTTCAATTGCCAAATGAAAGGGAAGTTTTCTATTGCTTGAGTATTAAAAAGATTACTTTGGCCTGGAATACTGTTCAGCTGTTGGAATTAAGAAATAGACATAAATGAATGTAAAATTATGGGTGAGAAAATATAGAGCTTTACCCGTACTCAACTGGCTCAGAAAATTTCTTTTCAGCATAATTCTGCGTGCTTATCCTCCATAATTTTAATTTAGTAAAGTTAATGCCTATTACTGTACAACTCTTTCAACACAACGTGTTATGTAAGTGGTACAGATTATTATGATGTTATTATTTGCTACTGTGAAAAGTATTTAACAAGCATAACACTATGATTATTTGTTCATGTTGGCTGAAGTTAAATACTGAAACCAACTTTTGAAGTATACATTTTTAACTGACAATGTGCAATGATCATTTGGGCTGAAATGTTTTAAAAAACTTTACATTCTAATTTGCTTCATACGCCATCTACAACTGAAAGGGTCAACATTTAGAATCTGTATTTAAGTCAATGCTCATATCAACAAACTTCAGTTTAAATTAATGCAAAGCATATACTCTAATGGAAAAGATATTACTCACTTTACTAACTACTTCTAAAGTCTAAAAGTCTGAGAGAGTTTCAAAATGTTGTTCAATATTGTATGTGCAAAACCGCGTTTAGTGTCTTCAGAGGACTCTAAGTGGCCAGACGTCTCTCATACCATCTCTTCCATCTGCAGACATTAAAGACATTAGGTCTGTGGTTTCTGTTAAGCCCCGTGGTGACAACTGCTGGGAAACTGTCACTCTTGTGCTTTCAAACAACTGGTCTGGATATGTGAAATTTGCAGAACTGGAAGCAATAGCTGGAAAGCATCCTGAATATAAGTAGTACTGTTGCAACCCTAATGGGGAGAGAAACATGGTTCATCAGTACAGCTGTCATGGATTTCAGGACTTAGATTGTACTTTTTAAATAAACTATTTTAAACCTCTGCATCATTCTATATTAGCATATGTATTCACACAGGATTTTAGAATCTGTAGATAACAAAAATGACAAATTACAACAGTTTACAGATAACAGGGATAGCCTGAATCACTATGTAGAAAACTGATTTCCCCTCGGTTTGAACTCTTGGACAGTTTTGTTTGCAATGTGAGTGGAATAAAATGCCGCAGTGTTCAGAAGTAGATTTGACTTTTTAAATACAAACCAGATAGTCTTTCCATCAACAGAACGAATTTTGAATTTGCTGTAGGTGGAAGAAGTGTCACTGTTAATAACAGGTTTTAACACGTACTACTATTTTTGGAATTTCTAATACTGAACGGTATAGCAGCCTGTAATTCTCCATGAACCTAGGCTGTACTAATATGTATTTGTATACAAATATGGGATTTAAGAAGTACAAAACATTGTATTCCACAATTCTGGACATTCCCAGGTTTTGCAATTCCTGGAGCACAGAAAGATACATCAGCTGCAACAGCAAATTTGCCCTATAACAAAAGGGAGCATATAGTAATCTTTACTACAGTTCTATTCAAATTTCCACGATTCTCCTTAAATGTATTGTTAATTCAGCGCAATATTGCTTATTGTAAAACAATCTTTTCCTCATTTTTAAGGGAATGCAACTATTAGATACAGAATGACAATCTGTAGTTGCTACTGTATGTTTATTTACATTTAAAGAGAAGTGCGATTGCATTAACAGAATTAAAAGAATTCATACTGCAGATAGTACACATTCTAGTACTTTATGAGCATATTACTCCCTCTTGACCTCTGCTCTTCTCAGTAAAACTGAGGCACATTTAGCTCACTGTGCTTTTCTGATGAAAAATAGCTGATGGTGTCTAACAGAAAAGGTCACTCATAGATAACAGTGTCCAATAAAAGAAATCACTCATGAACATTTTGGTGATGTCTGACGTGGTTATCCATGTGCTGACCAAGCCTGCCGCTAGACTGTGAATCTTTGTAGAAATCTAAATGCACGCGATGGGAAGCACTGTAGCATACCTGCAACTCAAATTTTAAAGAACAGAGTAGTCTGAAACTATCTATGTATCAGAAATACTTTGCAATATTTGAAGCAGGTAAAGGAACAGTAAGAATAGACTTATCCCAGGCAACTTGTGAATAGGTTAGGAAAGGGTTTAACAGCATATTGCAAATTGTCTCCTGTGCTCTGACCTATACAGCAGCAGAATTAAAGAGCTGGCCAGTCTCACTTCAGTCATACTCCTCAGTAAATGCAATATTACTACTATAGTATTTGTGGCAGAGGCTGAATACAAAACCGAGAGGTTTATGAGCTGGCACCGAACAGCTGGAATGATATTGTCATTACTTTTTATATAGTTCTTTCTTCAGACATAAATGTGACTGTTTCATTTCAAAATCATTTTACTAGAACATTTACTAATGTGAAAAAAGTGAAGGTTTACCTCTAATAGCACACTGTTGATGATGGGGTTAAGAGCTTCTGCCTTCATACTGCTCTGTAAACCGGAAAATAGAATGAAATGCCAGGACAAGAAATACATTAAACAGAAACGTGTTGGTAGCTGAGAAGTGGCTTTATGAATTCTGTAAAGGTCTTGCTTCACCTTGACTCTTATTCAGACTGTTTTTCACAGTATTGCTGATAACTGTGTCTACATTTCATACACACTTCAGTAGACCCTACATATTTCTATCACTGAGTACGATGAACTAAGACAGGCCCAGGGTTTTACTTTTTCATCAATTTTCAAATTGCCTGGTTTCCTATGGATCTGAGATTTATGCGATGACATCATCTGTCCATCTGTCTGTCAGTGCCCTTTTCATCTCCAAAATTTTTGAACCCCTTGCTCATTTTCAAGGAAGCGCAAAGGAAAAATACGGGTCAGAAGGAAAATGAAGATTAGATACAAATACAGATACAGATACAATACAGATACAAATATCTGTAGTTAGGAGGAAATGAAAGGCCCAGATGAGCTCCCCTACAGAAGGAAAAACAGGTGAAACTCAAATTCCCAAACTGGAGGCAGTATATGTTGAGCTGGACAATGCAGGCTGGCTGGTAAACATAGCTCAGCATGCATAGCATTTTTGTCAATCCCAGATAGGAATAAAGATGGCTACAATAAGTAGTGACACTACTAGAGGCTAGAAAACCAAGATTCACCTGTTCTTCTGCTTTTCACAATGGCAAAGATCTTTCCTTTTTTTATTCTCACTGTTCGCTGCACTGTGTTTTTTTAGAATGACAGTAACCTCCAGCAAGAGTTGCTTTCTTTCAATAACAAAGGGTGGACTTTATTAGAACAAAGGAAACACAATACTGATTAATTTAACTATAGATTTTCACTTACAATCTTGTAGCTTTCATATTACCGATTTAAAGAAACATGGAAGACCTTAATTTTAGTTTGGAGAAAGATGGCAAAACAAAGGGAAGATGGTTAGAGAAAAGATGAGCAATTTTGCTGTCAGTTACTAGAAAATCCATTAGGAAGTGCACTGTTTAGTTGATTGGCAATAAACTGAAACAGATAGAGAGCAGCTATCAATTAAATACTATTGATTGTATGAGTCAATAAGTTAAAAGTTTTGAAGAAATCCTGCATAGTGAGCAAAGCTGTTATTTCTTACTTCTACATTACTGCTCACTCAGCAACATCACCAACATTATAGACTATGTGTACAGCCAGCACTACAACTAATGTCTGAATTATACAGGTATAACTATAGGAATGGCATTATGTTTGAAAAAACACAGTATTTTCTGTTCTAAGCCACTTCTCAGTTTCCCACAAGTTAATGCACTTTGCAGGATACTGGGATGTGTTTGTGAACCCAGGTGCTGTTGGTGGGTTGAGGAGGAAGTTGAACCACTGGGACATGCAGGAAGATGTAGATTTTCTACAGTCCTGTGTGACAGGTGCTCCTCACTCTCCTGTTGATCATGGTAAGTGAAAGGCCCACATCTTCCCCCAAAAGCTTAGAGATGGGACAGCACCCAAAGATCTCCTGACTGCCCTACTAAAACTCTTTTCTAGAGAGTATTTTGGCAGTGGGAAGTGACTTTGTGCTCCATTTCTTTCACGTCCACACAAATGTCCACAAAAGCAATCTGGTCCTAAAAACTGAGTTGGTAAGAACAAAACCTAGTGCAATGTTTATGAAAGCTTCAGTTTCCACTTTTCTGAGTTGGGCCAGCTTAATATTTCATGTGCAATTAATTTTTATACGTCTGTGCATGTATTTATTGCAAGTGTCACACAGAGATATGCTAAAATACAATCCCAAAATGCAAAATAAGCAGTTTCTCCCAGAGTAATGGGAAGGAATGTAAATTATTCAGAATAAAAGCAACCCAATAAAACATGTTCTCTACAAATAACTGAAAAAACTTGCTCAGAGATGTGCTGGAAGAGCTTATGGGAGAACTGGGAAAATTTCCTTTGATGCACATTCATGCTTTCATGGAGTAATCAGGAGAGCCAGAGTTCGTTCTTCTCTGACGTTTACAGAATAATTTCACTAACAGCACAATTTTTGCCTCTGGATCTTGCTAGAATACTCAGATGCTAGTTGTCTTTGAAACATCTTGAAGGGCAGGATAGTATTTCTAGCAAAGATGTTCACAGACAAATGGATGTTCCTAAAAGGAATATCTTCAGATATAAGACAAAATGATTTTTTTTTTTAAGATGGACAACCAAAAAGATTTTCTATTCTCTTAAACCTTTTGCAAACACAGTGGCCTGAGGCCAGGGGATTTAGCAAAGGCTAAGAAGACAGCTCGTGAAACCATCTTAACGTACTGGAAGTGCTATCTGTTAATGACTTTTATACAAATGCATTCAAAAGGGATAGGCTGAGCAGAACAAAATATCAGCAAGTTGTGAGACTTCAAATATGGGGCCTTTTCAGTACAAGAAGATCAGAAGTGCTGAGTGGTGGTCAGGAAAAATGGGAAATGGTGTCTAGAAAGAGAGATTTTAGAAGGCAAGTGACACACTGCAGTCTATCAAGGTTCATAAACTGCCTCTGCAACAGGGAATCTACTGTAAAAATGTCCTATGTTCTTGATCTGAGGAAAGAAGTGCCCTCTTCATTAGTACCTCATGTAAAGCCACTGGACTCGGGTAATAACTTCTGTTTTAAGAAGTGAATTATGTTAAAAAAAGCCCAAGTGCTACAGAAAATGCTGTTATCTTACCCCAGCCGCCGTTAAAGAATCGGAAAACTTCTTTGATAAACATGAAACTTCATTGCACATGGCACTTGTTAAACTGGTTTAAAAAAAAAGAGAGACAAATATAAAAATACATCCTTGTCCTGTCCATGGATAAGAACCCCATGACTATGCCAGGCACAAACTTCGTCTTAGAAGCTAAGAATGTTCTTGAAGCAATTTTGCTTCTAGTAATTTTTAAAATATTTCTGGGCAGACTTCTTTTATGATATAGTTTTTATACTCCTCCACTGAAAAATCCATTGTTGACCTGTTCATCCCCCTGTACTTGCCACTGGTGAGGCCCCACCTCAAGTACTGTGTTCAGTTTTGGGCCCCTCACTACAAGAAGGACATTGAGGTGTTGAAGTGTGTCCAGAGAAGGGCTACAAAGCTGGTGAGGGGTCTGGAGGACAAGCCTTATGAGGAACAACTGAGGGAACTGGGGTTGTTTAGGCTGGAGAAGAGGAGGCTGGGGGGACCTTATCACCCTCTACAACTACCTAAAAGGAGGTTGTAGAGAGGTTGGGGTTGACCTCTTCTCCCTGGTGACAAGTGATAGGACAAGAGGAAATGGGTTCAAGTTATGCCAGGGGAGGCTTAGATTGGATATTAGGAGACATTTTTTCACTGAAAGGGTTATTAAACATTGGAATAGGCTGCCCAGGGAGGGGGTAGATTCTCCATCCCTGGAGGTGTTTAAAAAAAGGGGAGATGTGGTACTTGAGAACATGGTTTAGAGGTGGGTTTGTCAGGATAGGTTAATGATTTGACTTGATTATTTTAAAGGTCCCTTCCAACCTCAGCAAGTCTATGATTCTATGACTACAGGAGCAAAATGATGTCATGTTGACTCAACACTAATCTTTTTTGATAGGGCAATGTTTCAATGTTTTAAATTCTAAACTTCTAGTTTAACTACAGTTTTTCTGATGACTGCAGCAACACTACTCCTAATAATACTGTTGGAAAGAATTCAAACTTTAATGACAACAGTGAGAAGTTTCCTATTTAAACAATAAAACATCTACTCTACTGAAAGAGGAAGTACCCTTGTGGTTAAAATACGAGACAACAAGGAGATCTAGTTCTATGCCTAGATCTTTCACTGTTTTGCTAAACTTTCACAAGCGCATCATATAGAACCTCATCCTGCCAGGGGCACCATACCTTAGCTCTAATTCTGAGAAATACTTGTTCAAGTACTATGTTTTAGACTGACACTTTCCTATGGACTTCGCTATTGTCACCAGCATTCTTAAAGATAAACACTTGCTTTAATAGTTTACTTACTTAGGACTCAAGTACTTACAACATCTTAATGTCAAAACCCACTGAAATCAGTAGAATCTATTACTACAGAAAGCTTGAGATCTGAATTTTGAGTCCCACTAGATCAACTGGCTTCTTGAATTTACGTATGTTTTGTTGTGGTTTACTACAAAGTTGCTGACAAATGTGGTCTTATTGTTTAGACCTACAGATTAATATTTGTATATTTGACAGATAAACACTAGATAAGGAAACTACTAGCAGATAATAAGACTGCACTATGCACTCTAAAAGCAAATTCTGTATAAGCTAGCACAGTATCTTTTGCAGAGGGAACAGGAAATGCAACCCAAAATTAGCATGTACATTCACTTGCTGGAGCAGAAAAAACTTTCAGCCTGTGAACAGGTCATGTTTTTGTAAACATACATATGTTAGCCATGTCAAAAAATGACAGGTAGCCTGTGTAACTTGATTACATGAGAAAATATAGCACCAGGACCCCTAAAGCCAATCCTGTTTGCTGATCCATTAATTTACTGTGTCTTTAAGTGCCAAAAGCTGAACAGAACTTCATGATTTTTAAGCAAATGTCAAATGTTCCTACATGAAATACATAATACTCACTTTGTCAGTACTTTTGCTTGATCTTGAGCTGTTTTTTCTACTTCCTGCCCATGTAGAATTAATTCTGCTACTTTATGAAGCTGTTCAATACAACGAGCAGTTACCTCAGCCAGACTTTCAATGGACAGCATGTAGATTTCCTTCAATTAAAGACAGGGAAAAATACCACCAATAATAACACTGATAAATATACATATAGATATATACATATAAAAGAATATGAAACATAAGAGCCCTCTCCCCTCGCAATTGGAAATACCACCACATACACAGTGACGTAATATCAGCCATAAAGCCATCCTCACAAACAATACTGGACACATTATAAAATACACACCTTATACTCATCCTTGAAAACTAGCAAGAACAAGCCTACCATTTATTTGGATGGGAATTAGGTCACCCTCTCAGATTTTCTAACACAGCACTTTTAAACCTAGTCCTAACAAATGCAAAGATCCCTTCACTCTGGAGTAAGTCATAATTACTTTCATATGGAGCCAAAAGTATTGAGTCTCAGATGAATCTCCAGAGTAGAAATGGATAATTATCCCAGTAAAAAAGTGGGTTCTACCAGCAATGATAAAAAATTCTACCTAGTACTCTGGCATTACAGCTTTTACAGAATCACAGAATTGTCAGGGTTGGAAGGGACCTCTGGAGATCATCTAGTCCAACCCCCTGCCAGAGCAGGGTCACTGACAGCAGGTTGCACAGGACGGCGTCCAGGCAGGATCTGAATGTCTCCAGAGTGGGAGACTCCACAGTCTCTCTGGGCAGCCTGTGCCAGTGCTCTGCCACCCTCAGAGTAAAGAAGTCCCTCCTTATGTTTAGAGGGAACTTCCTATGCTCAAGTTTGTGCCTGTTACCTCTTGTTCTATCACTGGGAACCAGTGAAAAAAAGACTGTTCCCCTCTACCTGGCATCCTCCCTTTAAGTATTTATAAGCATTGATAAGATTCCCCCCCCAGTCTTCTTTTCTCTGGCTGGTGCCAGCTGGAAGTCTGCAATCACATAAAAATCTGTAATATATACAGTATAACTGTTTCCTTCTTTGGACCTTTTTTGTAAGGAAACATGACAAATAATTTCTTTGTTAGAATTCATTCAAAAATCTTGACAAAGATACCAATCACATTTAATATTGCTATAACTTGGTGTAAAATATTCAACCACAATTAACCTTATCAACAAGAGGGGTTGTCCAGACACAATACTTTTAGCCATAAGTGCTATTTTTCATAATGAGAATTAACACTTGTGAATGGCTGAAACAAAATTTCTGTTTTGTCGGTTTGTGATTTAAACCGTTTAAGAGTTTAAATGAAGCTTGAGATTTTTTTCCATGTATTGTCACTAGGAGAAAGAGATGCCAAGGAATGTTGAGATATGATTTTCAATGTGCTATTGACATTTCACCACAGAATCCCTCAGCTCACTTTATATTGTGTATATGCATGCATACACACAAAAACATAGATGTAAAAAAATAAAAACAATGTGATAGGCAGAGGACCTGCTACTTTGAATTTTACTTATGGGAACAGACTAAGAGTAAAAATATTTATGTAAGTTAGTTTCCTATTGGGTCTACAGTGAGTACCTATATATTAATATTTCTTAATAGTTCCATGAATTTAAAAAACAAGGAAAACATATCAAACCAACACACAAAGATAAAGAAGTAATCTTATCAAACAAAGTAGGACAATTTGCTTAATGAAAATTATCCTCCAAAAGCTATTTTACCTCCACAGTTTTGTTTTTATTTACTTCTGTTTTATCACTGTCAGTTTTATCTTCTTTTTCAGTCTTTTCTTCACCAGGTTCTTCAGATTTTTCTTTTAGCTTCTCTTCTATGTCTACTGGGGTGGAAAGACTGGCTTCTTCAAGCCATTCATGAGCTTTTTTCCTAGCCTGCCAAACAAAGAACAATGCCAAAATTCAGTTCAAACAGAGAATATCAAATGATGTTCCTGAACATTAATTAACAAGTCCTTTGTACATTCCAAAGTTTAGACATATCAAGCCTCTGTGTGGCATTTAGTTAAGTATATATTTAAGAAAATGTAGGGAGAAGCATTCCTGACCGCATAAAGATGGATCAGCCAGGCATAGCTCCTCTACAAGTATGATATTCCCAACCAACACATAGAGTTGGCATTAATACCAAAGTTAATAACATTTCAGCTTTATGAGGTATCTTCCAAAGAAATTTACATGGAAATAATTTTCCCGAATGAAAAAATAAGAAGGTGGTATAAAAAAAAAGAAAAAAAATTTGAGAGGTAAGAGAGATGCACTAAATTCTTCAAGGAAAAATAAATAGAATATCACTGTATCTTCAGCTGCCCTCCCAGGCATGAAAGTAAATCAAAGTGGAAAAGCCTTGAAGTTTTACACAACTTCAGACTACTGTTATGGTTAGTAGGAAATTTATGATTTCTCTTTTTTAACATGAAGTCAATTTAAAATATGTTAAGATCTAAACCTAAGATCAGCAGGTGAACGGCAGGTGAATCATATTTAAAGGGGCCTGATAGTAAAAATGTGACTAGTGATGTGAGTAGCTTCTAGCCATCTAACTTCTAGATGACTGAAGCTAGATGAGAGAAATCCAGGACTTTGCTTCTAGCTGAGGTCTGGAGAAGTCACTCAGAAGAATATACATGACGAGCAAGAAAAATAATTCTGAACCTGACCTTTGTTCCCAGTATGTAAGACCAAATCCACTGTGCTTGTAAACTCTGTTCTGCTGAGACATACCTGGTTCAAGACTTTCTAACATGGCCCACTATGGTCGCTAGTCATTGCAACTGTATTGCCTTACCAATCTCACTTCTTCCCTGAAAGCTTTTTGATATTCATCATTTTAGTCCCACCATGCTTTCTGAACTGTCTGATGTGAGCTAGGTACTGCTCTGTGTCAGATTTCAGAACAAAGCCCTCCCTCTTTGTTTTTGTCTAAGAAACAGAGGGCAGCTCACTAACAGGTGCTAACCTTATTAAGTTTGTCAGGAGTAGCAGCAACGTGCAATTCAAACAGCAGTTCCGTAAGCATGCTGACAAACTCTTCTCCCATATCTGCTGCAAGAAAAAACAAGACAATTTTTGTTAGGTTGTTATCGCTACAATATTTTACATGATCAAATACATCCAGTCAAATAATTTCCCCAAGCACTCTAGCACTTGAAAAACAGTGAGAGTGACACAAGAAAGGGGGGTGTGGGTGTGTGTATATGCTCAAAGAAAGAAGAAAAAAGCAACAGAGATACTTGTACAACCAGATATGCTAGCTTGACACTTCAGCTACTCTTTCCACCTCATTCTAAATTCCACTAAGTTTCACAAAAACAGTTAAAAGGAGAAGAAGGTGATTGATCCCTAGTTATCTGACAAAAATATATGACCCACAAAATAAGCAAAGGAGAGATACTAACCTCTTCTTTCAAACCAAGGAATAAAAGCACCAGCAGGGTGAGATACAAAGAAGTTTCAGAGGAAACATACCGGAAAACATATTCTGTATTGCTCTGTCTGCAAACCACAGCTAAGAGGTGTGTTTTCTTTCTATTTTAAGATTAAGCTTTGCTTAAATGAAGAATATCTTTTGTTCTGCTTTGGAGTAATGAGCCTTAAAGAACCTCACTTATATTTCTATCAGCAAAGATAAATATCACTAGTATTCAAACTTCACCTTTATTACACATATTCCTTTGACTACTTGCAGTTGCCATATTCTAACACGTTCCTAAAAGTTGGTATTTTGTTTGGTTCTGTCCATCTGCACTTACTGAGTTTGGAATCTTCATAAACATTTCCTGGGGGAATATACCAAATCCAGGGTTTTTCAGCCTGATGACGCTAAAAGGCCAAGTCCCCATACTGAGCCTGATAAAAATCCAGCTACTTCAAAAACAAATTTCATGTCTTGCTGTAGTCCCACTTTTTTTTTGTTCTTTTATTAGATAGGGCCAGTTTTTCCATTTTTTATGCAAATCTTCAGTACTGGGCTTAAAGGTGGAGGGCCATTACCCTCCAAGGAGTTTGTGGATTTTGGTAGAACAGTTTACAGTCCACAGTACCTTGCAACATGTGGAAAGGTGGTGGAATCTGACACTCAGGTTATAATCTCCTAGAGTAAAGGACATCTCACCCTTGCTGGTAAAGAGCACCCAATTTTGCTGCTACAAAATGAATTAGTGTCTAACACAACTCTTCACCTGCAATGACCAAGAGACTGAGCTTCCCTCTTAACAGCTGGGGAACAGGTCAGGAAGAGTGTATTCTGAAAGGCCAAAGGCATGCACAGAGTTCATTTCATTGCTGCCCTTATCAGTAAATTTTAGCAATAAATTTTTCAGGTTTCACAGTACAGCACCTCTTGGATACACTGAATTCATTTGTTCTTAAAACAATGCCAAATTGTTTTATAAACTGCAGCATGCTGAAAACTGATAAGCAGTTCACTGGTTCAATACAGTATTACCAAAACTGCTGATAATTGGCATGTTCAATTCAATACTTACTTTGTTTACCATCCCCCTTAACCTCACATATGAAATTTTTGGTGTTAATGGCTTTCAAAATGTAGGTAAAGCTACTTTTTCAGATATTCTCCTCTCATTATTTCATAAACAACTGAAAGGAAAAGAAGCTGCAGTGAAAAATACATGAAAGGATTGCATAATCAAAGTGAGAGGAAACATTAGAGAGAAGGGTACGCATTTAGCTTTCTCCTACTTGTGTCGGAAAATATCTTTTCCTTTTCTTTCTTTTCATACTGATTTTCCACCTATCTGACTGTTAAGTAAAGACACAAAAACCCTACAGTTCCAGTTTCAAGGCTCCCGAGAACAAAGCCTAGCCCCAATCCTTTCCCAAAACAGTTCTCCAAAGATCACTGCAGTAATTTCTCCTTGTGTAGTACTGAAAGTGTTTATGGTAGAAACTAAAAGCAGCACTAACATTTCTGAATGAGATCCTGACAGTCTAGGATAAGAAGGGATCCTGAGAGTTTACATAAAACAAATGGCCACCCTTTTCAAACACTTGAATGCAAAGTACTGGCTTTCCTCCCAGCTAGTCTTTTTTTTTTGCTGAATATATATAGCAGTGACAAATGACACCATATAAATAATATGACTTTGATGACGAGAAAGTCGAAACAAATTACCAATAAGTGGTAATTAACTTGTTTTCAAATACTGCTCAGTGGCTAGATAAGATTTAACATTTTCAAACACCATTAGTTAATCTCTCTCTCGTAGGGGGGTGGCTTCTTTACGTAAAGGAAAAAACCTCAAGTTTTATTGAACTAGGAAGCACAAATTAAAATCCTACTGAAGGCAAGTTAGTTGTAGTTTTAAACTGTTTAGCAAGCAGGATTAAAACTCAAAATTCCTCCACGGAATTTAACATAGCCTGCTGCCTCATGCTAGCTTAGCTAGCTTAAGTAAAAATATATAATTCTATAATAAAAATTATGCTATTAAAAGAGCATATGGGTGATTGACTTGATTTTATAAATGTAAAACCTATTAATGTGCTTAACAGGACCTTAACTGTATTAACTAGCTCGAGCTAAGAACACAAACTAGAATGAAGCTGCCTCTTCACAGCAAGACATGAGCTGCATTTAATCCTGATCAGCCAACCTGTTGTTAAACTTTACTGTCTTTTATCATCTTTGGCATGATGCCAAATCATGCTTAAAATTTTTGCTAACATTAAATACAGACATTTTCGTAGTGTGAATATTAATTATGCCACAGAAACATACTTAAGGTCCCAACAAGTCATTTCAGGTAAAAAAATCCAGTTTAAAAATAAAACCAAACAACTCAAACCTAGTCCCCATTAGATCTGGAAAGCTAAACTTATTTGTAAAATATGACTAGAACACTAAATGTAGTCAACAGAATGTCACTGGAATCCAATTTAAATTATGTAAAGACTAGCAAACCAAAGTCTGAATGAAACATTAAACTGCTTAATAAAACTGTGCTCCACGAGGGGAAAGAGAAATGCACATCACACGGAACATTACACAGAATCATAGAATCATCAATGTTGGAAGGGACCTTTAAGATGATCGAGTCCAATCATTAACCTTAACACTACCAAGTCTACCACAAAACCATGTGCCTAAGCACCACGTCTACCCGTCTTTTAAATACCGCCAGGAATGGTGACTCCACCACTTCCCTGGCAGCCTGTTCCAACGTTTGACAACCCTTTCAGTGAAGAAATTTCTCCTAATATCCAATGACACCTACCCTGGCGCAACTTGAGGCTATTTCCTCTTGTCCCATTGCTTGTGACTTGGGAGAAGAGACCAACCCCCACCTTGCTACAACCTCCTTTCAGGCAGTTGTAGGGAGCAACAAGGTCCCCCCTCAGCCTCCTTTTCTCCAGGCTGAACAACCCCAGTTCCCTCAGCTGCTCCTCGTAAGACTCGTTCTCCAGTCCCCTCACTAGTTTTGCTGCCCTCCTCTGGACACACTCCAGGACCTCAATGTCTTTTTTGTATTGAGGAGCCCAAAACTGACCACAGTATTCGAGGTGGGGCCACATGTAAAGGTGCTGGATATTGTTCTTATGTAAAAATAGCAGACAATTGGCATGTAAAGGCCTATTAGTGGAATTCTTTAAGTTTTACAAGGTTTTATACATTCACTACGTTTAATAAAAACACTTAAGATTCTGTGCATTAACAAATTCAGGAAAAAGGTTGGTTTTCCCTGACTCAGAGGGATCATAAGAAGCCTTCACTCACTTTGGTAAGATTTTAATGAAGATAACAGTTTTTGTGAAGGGTACCAAGACTAGGACGCTGTCTAGAGGGGGTGTGTCAAAGCACTATACAGTGTTAAGACCACTCTCAATGCAGTGTTTTCTGTACTACAGATTATGGGTGAGGGCTGAAGAAAGAAATAAAGGCCATATGTCCCAGGTTAGGAGCCTGACCACAGAACTGTCAGCTCAGCCCTAACAGAAAGCTACTTTGAGAAGTGATTAACCTTTCTATCATTTTGGTGTCCTCCAGTGGAACTAAAATTTATCCAACTTAATACTTATACATGAAATTTATCTGCAGTTCAAATACTAATAAATCTTGAGCCTGGCTGCACTAAAGGACGTGAGTAATTTTGACCTGCAGACTGAAGTAACACCTATTCAACTGTAAGGCATACAGTTGTTATTTCCACCGTCACAGAGAGGAGGGTATGTTTCACTGCTGACTGATTTGTTTTTGCACACTCTGATTTTGTCTTTTTTTCTTTTTTGAAGGTGGACACTGCCTTGGTCTCAGCCTATTTAGAAGGCCAGTTTATGTTTCAAGGAGTGTGATCAGCAGCTGTTCTTCACTGAAAAAACAGAACTTCTCACCAACAGAGAAAATACCACTTTGTGCAAGAAACAGAAGTGTTCCTGGGGGCTGGTCACAAAGCAAGAAAATTAAGGAACAACAGACATCTCATGAATCCTCACTCTCAAGCAGCTAATAACACTTTCTTGACTTCTATTTCTCACAAACCCACTTTTTAAAAAATTAACAAGGGAAAAAAACAGCACAAAACTCTACCATACTAAGACTACACTGAACACTCACTGTTCCCCTCGAGAAGAAACAATAAGCTCCCTGTGAGAGACACCAGGTATACTGAGTAAGCACTGCTAGAAAGAGCAGTCTGAGCAGAAAAGACTTTCCAGTTAGAATATGTGGATATTAACACAATTTTTCTAACTTTTCTGAAGGCTACAGAAATCATACCTCACCACCTTGCAAAATGTGGGTTTTATGGGCAAAGCACCTCTGAGAAGATCAAAAGGATGTGGAAGAAACATCTTTTTATGTTTCTGTGTTTCTGAAACACAACAATATGGTGTTTAATGGCCTGAGCCAGTACTTGGTCAGGTCAAGGGTATTGTTTGTAATAGCTAGAAGAGGTTTGGTACGGATTTCACAGGCCTGGAGACATGAGCTATGGTGGCTTTAAGCTAACTTCTTATCCTTCTGTTCCCAGCCTGTTCTGGGGAATGCCAAAATTCCTGACCTGTTTAAGACATGCATTTTGCCCCTAACCCAAGGCCCCACCCATTTTATTTCAACTTTTATAAGCTGATCTATGGACTGCCATGCTGGTCCCATTCTCCTTGATGCTGTGCACTATGTCATAGTTATGGCATGCTTCTGCTACTCAACTTCTTTCTCACGCTCCACATGCTCTTGCCAAGCAATAACTAGAAAGCAGCTTGGCACTATGTTTCAAAGTGACCTTCCTTCAAAAAGTTCAGGGTTCTTAAGTCCCTTTATTACACTCTAACCTTTTGCCTATCTAGCAAGGGAGGGTGCAAAGTAAGGATGAAATTGCTAAACAGAAAAGCATTGCTAAACACCCCTAAAGTTTCAGATTACACAATTTCATAAACAGATTCTGTAAGAAAACCTCAATTATCCAAAATTATTCTTATTTTTGTTTTGCTTTCACTGACAATATAGTAAAATAACACAATACTTCCTTACCTTGTATTTTCTCTATCTCACATTTCAATTACAATATAAATTCAAAATTAAGTGTTGATCTGCTTCCAGAACTTTCAGAGTATTAATTTTGGTGACTAGCTTATGAAGAGTATCAGGGTATCAGAAATTAATAGTTTGGACTGTAATTTTTTAAATTACTATACGCAGAAGTAACAATTGTCCATATGGTTAAGTCTCTGTATTTCTAATTACCTTTCTGTGCCTGTACTGCTTCATCATCTGATTCCTTTGGAACAAAAATCTCCTTTATAGCAATTAAATCATTTTTCACAATCTCCAACTGCTTTCCATCAAGTGTTGCTAAATATGACTGAATCTGTAAAAGAAAGGACAGAAGGAATTCCTAAACAAAACATAGTCTTTTTCTTATATTGCTAATTTTAAGCCTGATACCAAAATAGGCTAAGAAATGGAAACTTCCATTATGCTCAAATCTTGTCTCTAACCTTCCAACTTAGGTAGATGCATTTTTAGTTCTCATCAACAAAATTTCTTGAGTATCACAAAAATTACAACAGTCTTGCAAGATCATCAGGTATCTCCCTCCTCCCAGAACATTTGTTTTGAATTATAAAACTGTGGTTTAATTGCGAGCTGTAATAAGCATTTTGGGATTGTTTGGATGAAGACAGCAAGAAGGAAGAGCACAGGCAGAATTCATGGTTTGTCTGAGCACTCATGGGAGGAGTTAGAAAAAGAAATCTGTTTCCCCTCTTTCAAAACGCACTGAAAATTATTGACAGTCTACCAGTTCTACCCGTTCTGAAGAACATATTGACAAATTTTTGGGTGTCTCATGTATCTGCAAGTCCCTGCATATCTAAGAGGGTGGCAAGCCTAAGAGGGATGGAAACATTCTTTGAATCACTGTTTGTTTACACTACAGTTATGCGGTGTTAACCTCATGATCGCACTCTCAGCCTATGGAAGCCAAAATAAATGCCTTCTCTCCATTTGATATAAAACTTCACTTTTAGGTTTGTTTCAAGGTTGGTTTTTTTTAAGCTTGCTTGACAGATGTGCAGACTGATCCAGTGAGAGACTGGAGAGAGATATTATTTTCTTATGTTCTTCCTTGATGTGTCCAGCTCATATGCTCAGGGTAAATGCAAGCTGAAGTTGGGAGACCCAAATCAGGTTGTGAAGGACTACCTTTTTGGACCTCTCTATAGCATTATCCATTTCACAGGATTAATTGGGACCTTTTTTAATAGAAACTTATAAAATACAAGCTTTAAAGTATTTTTAAATACTTTAGTACAGGTCCCAAGCTTACAGTACTGTATTTGGTGCGTATGTGTGTGTGGTAATTGGAAGATGTTCTGTGAGTCTTTTGGAATACGTATCAGGAAATTGGACTATCTGACCCAGACAGTTGCATTCAGTCCTGTTGGAGTGAGTAGGACTATGAACCAGGGGTTATCTAGGACACAATGTGAAGCACATCAAAAAACTCATGGTAACAACCTGCACAAATCTTCCTTACCCTGTGGTATTTAACAGTAAAAGATAAACAGTGTTGTCACGTGCAATTAACCTGAGCTTGTTTTACATGTAGGTTTTGAGTTTATAATTTTGCATTTAGACATAAGTGCAAAACCCAAAACCATCATGGACAGTATGTATCTAGCTGATATTAAAATAAGCTTCTTTTATTTGTGACAGTAAATAAAACATTTTTTTTAAAAAAGGTTCGTTATTTTTTATTAAAAGTAATCCAGAGGGCAAGGAGTGCTAATTACTAAAACAAAAAAGAAAAAAACATGTACTTTAAGAAATTTATTCAGAAAACTGTTTCAGTACAAAATACCATTTCTGGAAATCTAAAAAAGTTCTATTAATCTATTGTCAGAGATCTACTGACAACTGAAATTCAAATGTATTTCTTATATAGGCCTTAGTAACTTTAGCATGGTCTTCAGAGAGACATACAACATTTGTATACTTCCAGTAATGATATCTCGGGGTAGTTTTATGTAAGTTTAAAATCTACCACAACCTAATAAAAGACATCAACTTCCTTGCAAATCCTGAAAAGACATCTGCACAGCGTCACAAGCTGATACAGGGTCCCAACAAAAACACCTTTCAGTTGTGAAGTTGTTTGTTCTGAGTTAATCTTGGAGTTAAGTTTTACATGTGTTGACATTGATTTCCTGAAGCCCAGGACTGGCCCGTGGGACCAATCCAGCTTTCTCTGAAGCTGATGAAAAACTTACTCTTCAATTTACATGCACCTACAGAGTGAAAATAATGCAAAGAACAATTTTTTACCAACCATTGTTTTGATTTATGCTGTCTGCATACTGTACCTGTGCTTCACTTTCATTTGACAGGATTTCCAGAGCTTCAAGATGAGACAAACCTTGGAACTCATCAAAAAGTAGTCCATAATGTGCTGTTCTCTCAACTGTAACTTGCTGGGCCCGCCTCTGTTTCTCTTTTTCCTTAGCTTCTCGCAACAGCTACAAAGATATACATAATTCTTGTTGGTTTATTGGTAGTGCTGTAGGTGTGACAGATTATATTACCTTCTGCTTCTGCTTGTCTAGGAAGTAGTAATAAAACTTAGGACTATTAGCACACCTGCAGAGCTGAAATTTTAGAGCTGAAATATTTAACTTCTTCTTTGATAAACTACTTTAATAAAATATTTAAGTAGTATTCTAAGTGTGGTTTTCCCAATGGCAATTGCTAACCATCTTTTTTAAAAAAACAACGAACAAACAAATAATCTTGCTTATGTTCTCAAAAACAATGTTGGCTATTGATATCATACAATAAATTTATCCACCAATTACAACAAAAGAAAAATAAAAAGGACTACTTCATACGCAGCCTTAAAAAGTCATGCAATCCATTCCACAGACCACAAAATGGGAAGAATATTATTTTCAGGACCTAGCTACCTGCTTGTATAAATAACGCACCCGCATAAATATTTCCTATAAAATATTTTTAGCAGATACTGAGGTCAGTTTTATCTGACACAAGACTGACAAAAGAGATTAGCCTAATAAGGTATGACTTCTACCAAAGGTGGAGCAGAACTACACTCCATATACTTGGGGATATTTTTGAGTGATCTTCTTATACACTTCTACTAGTGTATAAGGAGAGACTACTGTATAGAATAGGATCTTCTATTCCTTCCTTCTATTCCCACGAAGGAATGGCCTCTCGTGTGAATTTGCTACAGTAAAGCTGGTAAATACACCTGGACTGCATCTTAAGTCACATATAAGCCTCTGAATACAGGTGAACTCTCTCACTTACGCTACTGCATCACTAAAAATTTCTGTGATATTGTCTTCAGTTACTCATTTGTTACAAAAGACTTATGATGGCAGATTTTTCAGTCTCAACCTTCAAAAGATCACTCACAAAGTTTTATGTACAAATCACCAAAAAGGAAGCACTGTGTTATGCGACCCATGAGAACTGATTTATGTCACTTTCTGCCTCAGATTTTATTTATAAATTCATGCATATTGTCTAGGAGGGTATTCTCAAAAGCTCATTTTAACCCTGTGGGCCTTAACAAGAGTTACTTGCTTCTGGCCTACTACAACAATATCAGTCTGTTTACACTTACAATGACCAACACTTAAGATGAAACATCTCATTAAAAGAAAAATACCTTACTCCTCTGCACAAAGAAGTAAACATGTAGTAAAATTAAAGTTTTTCTCAATGTCTATTGATTTCCACAGCCTCCCTCTTCTCAGTGTCTGGAGAGCTAAAATAATTTTGTGCTGACAGCACTTACACTTCTGTTCTGTTTTTATCATGTCTCTGAACTTTTAAACATATGAGTCATGACTGTGTAAGGCTACCATTACTTTAGATAGACATTAAGATATAACTTTTCACAGCTTTAATTCCTAATGAAACATATGTTATATTCCAGTATTATTCATTTCCAAGGGAAGTAGTATAGTGATGTTTATGCTGAAAGACATCTATCTACAGCTGTTAGAGAAACACCAACAATTTGATTTTGTCTCCAGAGGGTAATGATTTATCACCACATATACTATCTTATTAAAATCAGCTACTGTACATGTCATTATGCAGAAAAGATGTTTTTACATTATCTTTTGTGGTTCTGTGAGAAAAAGGAAGTGGAGCAAATATAAAGCACAATATTTATTTCCATAAGCCTAGCCAATATCTACTGCAATAAATAAAGCCTCCCCCTGAGGCACCTGAAATTCTGGAAAAAGCAGCTGAAATTGCATAAGCTGTATTTAAATAAATCCAACCTGAGATAGAGAAACTGTTCTTGCCATCAGTGTTTTGGTTCTCTTAAATCCAGGATCACTTTCTGCAAGGACATTCATGGTTGTCTTCCCAATAAATTCCAAAGCATCTAAGCCTCCAGATAATACACTTTTCCCCTGTATAAAATAATGCAAGGTGGTTATTTTCTCTCCACTTTATGCTAATAGGAACTGTAAAGAGTATTGCTTTTGCTGACACCACCTTTGAACATTCAGGTCCCTAGATTTTCTATGCTTTAACTAACAATAGGATCAACACATTTATAAAATTACGTTAGTTTGTTCTGAATAAATTTTCAAAAAGAAAAAAATGAACTACGCAAATATTTCTAGTTAATTAAAAGACTCACACCTGAGGAAATATAACACCCATTGCAAATAAAAAATTATGAATAATACCACTTTAATTTCAACCCAAGTGGCATCTAGTCCATGGGAACATATTTTAGATACGAATAATACGGTGCCAAAGTCAATCATGAACAGGATGACCCTGCCTTACCTAACTGATTTCTCAAATGTTGATGCTTGTGATGACTCTGGAACTGTCTATTGAAATACAGTTGTTTTTCTTGTGCCTTTGTATTAGCATTAGCCCTTACTCACAATTTTTCATGTATAGTGAGGAATTTTCACTGGCTAGAGATTTCCATTTCTGTCTGGATTATAGATCTGTCAGATATTCACATACTGATGTAACCTGATATATAATGGAAAACCCTACCAAAGTCTCAAATGGCATTACAGGCAACTTACTGAGACCTTAAGTTACTCTTTTTGTTTGGTGACATTCATCACCGTGGTATAGCAGCCTCTCTAAGTTTGCGTAAGAGCACATTTCTTTTGTTTGAAAATCTTACACAATTCTTAGGTAATCTTACTGGTGTCCAGCTCTCACAAGCCCTACAACGCTCCGGATTCTGTAGCAACAGCCTTAGGAACAGACTATAGGAATCTCTGCTCCCAAAATCTTTGATATTAGAGTGATGAGGCACTCAGAGTGAACTGGACATGCACTAAAACAGAATTGCCACTTTATAAAACATGCTCATGGGGAGTTAGTCTCCTATGCTTTTTCAGCTGATGCTTAGTCTTTTATAATTTCAAGGGAAACACTATACTGAAAAGCTCAGAGGAAAACATTTGCCATGGTAATAGTGTGTAAAAATTGTTGGGGAAGAAGATGACACAAAAACTGATTTGGAAACAGTATGGTACAGGATTTTGCAAAAGCTGAAACACAGAAAACCAGAAACAGATGAAGTGCAAAGCATAGAAAATACATGGGAAGTGTAATAGGAAAGAACCGTGAACAAAGACTTTGCCTCACTGCGTCTCCAATCAACCTGCCTTCTGAGAAAGCTAATATAAAATGAAAGACTAGACAGTGAAGTGAAGGTAAGGGCAAGGGACTAACAATAGAGAGTTTAGTAAAAGCCTTAAAATAAGCAAATGGAGTATTTTTTTATTTTATCTGCCTTCCAAAATAAGAACAAATTTTATCATACTTTCTCTGGAAGGACTTAACTGCAAAAAAAAATTAGATGATGGTGCCACAACCATAAAAAAGATTTCCCAAGAATTTGCAGAATTCTATATAGTTTAGGAGAAGACCATATTTTTCACTGAAACTAGTGTCAAAGTCATAACTGACTTAGTTGTGTTTAACTTTTTTTACTTTTTTTTTAAATTTGATACAGCTATTTTGCCATGGAAGAGCCTCTAAACAGACTTACAACAGAACTGTTTTTACAAAGACCTACAACTTAACGAACTTGACTTGTTAAATGTGACCTACAGTGAAATTGCACGTAAGAATGATGAAGACTAACTTGAGCAGAGAGGCTTGCTAAAATGACTCACTGTGTTCTGTACAGCATTAGTGATAGCTGACAACATGCCACGAGATCCAGACGAAGGAGAAGAAGGAATGTTCTCAGAAGAGCTTTGGTCCAGAGAATCTTCTGCTTCTAGCAAGAAAAAAAGCAAGCTACAGCATACTTTCAGTAAACTGGATTATGTGATCAAAATCTTAAAATTTTGTACATTGGACTAATTTGGCAGTCCAAGTTGGAGTTTTGTCCAATTTCAGCAGTCTTGAACTTACGTATAATTGGTGTTTCAGTTGCAGGAGGGTCTGTTGTTTCTGAAGATGCTGAACTTGTGTTATGAATTCCTAGGGTAGTTCCTGCTTTTTCCTTTACTGCTGTTATCCCATGACCTGCAGCAGAAGGATAGTTCAGATTGTATGATTTGAAAACTTATTACTAACAGTGCATAGTATTCTTATACTCCACAAATGATGACAATCAGAATAACTATTAAACTCACCTCAATTGCTTTATTTTTTTTTCTAGGTTAATAATTCACTTATTCTACTATATCCAGTATATTAACTAACTGGAAATTATAAAGCTGAAATACAAATTACTCTGGATCTGAAATGTAAAACTTGGTTCAGTGGCACACCTAAGTTTAGTTCCCTGCTTTTCAAAATGCTAAACGTTCTATTACAAACAGTTTAAACAGAAATTGATGGTCCTCCTAATACCGTAGGGTTTGGCCTCATCTAGTTTTCAGAAGTCTAGAACAATTAACCCACAATTAATGGACTGTGGGTGACTGCAGGGCTGAAGTAAGGAATCCGTTCTTCAGTCCACTGCATAGGTGCAATGTTAGGTAAGCATGTCTGGAATACTGACCCAGTCCTCGAAGTTATTTCAGGATTTAAGCTCCTTAGTTGCTCATTTGAAGTCAAATTCTAAAGTGTCTTTCCTCAAAGCTGCTGTTAAAATATACTTTGTAAAGTCTGTTGGTGTCAGATGACACAGACAGAATTATTGTTCCAGTGGTAGCTGATCTGCAGAGATTATACCACCTTTACCTGATGCATATGAAGTGACTCCCTAACTCTCTGTTCTATTAAAATGGTCTAGTTTAATCTAAAGAATATATGTTATTAGTGTTTTTATCTGAGTAATTTTGACAGAACGGGATTGCTTTGCTGCTTTTCTACACAGAGTTTATTTACACTAGCAGATCACATGGAGTGGTAACATCCTGCTATAAGATAGGGTGGGACTGCCTGGTAGCCAGCAAAAGAAGGCAGCAGCTTCCCAATCTGCATCAGCTGTAGCTGAAAAACACTGCCCTTAAAAAAAGACTAGCCTCAAATTGTCTGCCTATTCTGCTTCTGGATATATCCACAAGTATGTTCATGATACGCTTCTTTCATTATAACTGATCCAGCTAGAACATCTTCCTTAGTTTCCGCACATCAGCTGAGACACAATAAGTAAACAACCAACCAGGCGAGCAGTATTTCTTTCCAACACAAAATGAAATGGTTTCAGTGACCCTACTTTATTTTTTCTTGCACAGTACACTGTTACTACATCTCAGGTAAAGCTGATCACTTCCAACAGTAGGACAATACAGAGTGCTTTAACTATCTGCCTAACTACTTAGGAGAAGTATTAATGACAATTTCGTACTTCTTTGCTTTGTTACCATAAACTGAACCATAAATAGATAAATGATTTCAGAAAAGCAATTAATACAGATGCTCAGGCAGATTCCTAGACATGTAAGACATGAAGTCAAGCATAATGATTCATTAAACGTAGTCCGTATTTTCATATTTTCCCACAACTGTGTACACTTTCTACTAGAAAAGTTCAAAGCATCTTTTCTGGGTTATATTAAATACAGCAAAATAGCCTATCATTTGTCCACGCTCTGCATTGTTTTGAATATACATATACATGTGTGTGTAGTCATCCAAATATGCCTTTGAACATGCGACTAAAGAAAGATGGAGCAAAAGCATTTAAAATGGAGTAGGAAGAGGAAAAGCTTACATTTATGATTCTGTGATTTCCAGATGGGTTGCACATCAGGTGCTCTATGAATTCAGTAATAAATATTCTAGAAAACATACGTGAAGCAGCACTACTGAAAGATCACATACAAGAAAACTGAAGTATATGGAGGTGAACACAAAGAACAGATGTCCCCTAAGGAACAGATGAGCAGAAACAAGTAATTCTCTATATGAGAGATAAGCTGCATGGGGTCCTGATGTTTTACAATGAAACAGACAGACTAGGCAGGTAAATGCTTTTACCTGCCTAAAGAAAATATGACCTTTGTCTATTTTATCTCATGTCTTACAAAATGTAGTAGTATGTCCAACTGTACAGGACATACTAGGTTATGCACCACAGTGATTTAAGTCATTGCTGGATAATGTCTTGCCTTTTGCAAAATCTGTTCCAATGCAGATACTGCAGAGTGACATACTACTTTATCTAATCTCAATCTCCTGCAAGTCGTAATTGGTTCAATCAAAATATTAGCATGAATAGATCCTGGAGTCATTTACTTGCACTCCAAATTCCTGGGACTCACGTAAATAACTATTAATTGTGCTTTTAAACTAGTGTAATAGATGCTCCATGTCACAGTTCTTTCCATTTCTCCTGCTCACAACTTTTTAAATGAGCAAGAGATCTATTCTTTCCATTGACTTAATTTTTTCTTAAGTACTTGTTGCTAACAAAATATTGTCCTGTAATTATATAAAAAATCAACTATGAATATTAAGCAAAAGTTTCCCTTTAACCATGTGCAAAAGTTATAAATTTTCAGATTAAATTTCCTTTTTTTTTCTGAATCCAAACGTTTTAATTTTTTTTTTATATTCTGTAATTTGGTTGTCATAGTTTTGCAGACAAGCTTACACTTCCAAGAAAAGGAGGCACACAGTTCCTGTACTGATAGTTACAGACCTATAAAAGGCAGCATTTTCAGGGCTGTGGTTACACGCACTAGAATGATAAGAAAATATTTCAGGTCAGCTAGGAGTGGTTTTGCTGAACTAAGCTGTATGGCATGTATGTTTGACTACAACAGATGAGATCAGAAGACCACAACTGAAGCAAGTCAGCACTGTTAGATACACATACATGCACAAACATGGCAGAAGAGCATGTTGCTTTGGAAATGAAAATTATTATTTGTAATTTCAAAAGGCACAGAAATAAAAGAGGTTATGAGAGCCTATATTTTAGAGATAAAGGTGCACTGGTTTTGTTACAGTGGGTGTGGTAGCGCAACTGAGCTGATATTATAAACTTGGGAACACCTCAGATGCCTCCATTTACTTGTCTGCAGAGACAGGAAAGCTATGCAATAAGTATTGTTAAGTGCTTGCTTTTTGAAGAAAGCATGCTTTTTTCCCTGTGTTGGTACTTTTGTTTTTCTTCCCTACATGATTTCTTTTCTTTCTATTGGCTGGCTATTTCAGCAGAACACTGTTGCTTATCTTGCTAGGTGGAATCCTTCCTTTAAAAAGGAAGGTTTTGCAAGCAGTGCCTAAAAATGTGGCCTGCCTTTGAGTTTGCCTGATCTGCCCAGGGCCAGACCACAGTGCTCACATATGCTTTAGTCAGAAACATCCCACTTCACTTTAGGCACTCTTATCTTCCACCTCCCAGCTTAGTAGCTTTGGATACCCTGCAGAGCTGAAAGAAGCAGACAGACACATCCGGAGCGCAGTTGAGCACATCTGAAATCTAAACTATTCTCTGTAGGAATTGCTGTCCCTTGTCAATCTAGCACTCCCAGGCAACTGGACTCCTTGCTTCAGCGGTACAGATAGGGAAGGTGAGTTTGAGATGTTGTGCGTGGCTACCACCCAGTCTTTGTCACCTGTGGTGCACCATGGGGAAGTTTCTGATGAAAAACTGATTAAAGTTCAGTCTAGTACGACGAACGAAGCTTTGTCTGCTTCAAGCTAAAGGTGAAGATCGAGGCCATCTGACACTGACTGAGACACTGAGGAACCTGAAGAAGGCTGGGGGGGAATTACTTGTCTATATGAAGTACAGGTATGTAGAAAAGCCAGCTGTGCTCTGCTTTTGTACACGAAAATGTGGGACCGAACTGTGCTCACTTTGAGGCTATCCTTTTGGCACTCCATTCCCTTCAAGGCTTTACAAAAGCTTGTAGCTAAAACAAATACACAGGCTAGATTCTGATAGTACCTATGCTATCCAGTCTGTCAATCAGGACTAACTTCAATTAAGCTAGTAAATGAGACTAGTTTCAGATCTCCATATTGCAATGGTAAAAGGCTTAAATAATAGCAACAGGCATAAAGGCTGCTACAACAGATTATTGGTTTTCAAACTCTTCTACATCATAAGCCCATGTTAAAAGATAGAAAGCAAATGGGACTGCCATCCCCAAAAGCACGTCCACAATTCCCCTCATCTGACACTTGCATTCAGTATTCTTAAAAAGAAGGAACTGTGAAAAAGGGGGTTTGCTGCTACAGCAGCTGTCATGTGTTAGTTACAAAACAGTTGTGACCACCATCTGATTTCAGGCACAGAACAGTTTTCCCTTAACCAGCTGAATTTATGCAGTGAAAAAAAAAGGTCTTCTGAAGAGATTAACTGTCCTTTTTATGACTACATAGGTATAAACATAACATCCAGCCTTTGTTGTTTTTTTTTTCTTTAAAGTCATTATTTATTTCAGAACAGGGGAATAATATCTGTAGAGAATGGAAAAGATATTCACATCACTTCAATCCTTTAGTTTCACATTATCTGAAGCATTTGCATTTCCATTCCACTTAGACTTCAATTTAAGATGTGCAATGCAGATTATTACACATACCCATGTGTAACAATATCCAACGTAGTAACATCTCAAGTGACATTTCATTCTGTCATACTGAGTAACAAGGAAAGTTTTTCAGCATACCAAGGTATATGGGTGTCTGATATTTACGTGTGCCATTCTACTACATGAAGTAGATGAGGAATACACACAAGCACAAAATCATCAATACAGCAGAATATTAGTTACAAGCAATGTGTAACAGAAAGGCATTAAGCAGCCCTATAGTATGAATTTCAGAGACCATGTAAATTACATAGCTGGGTTCTATTTTTTATTACTTTTATTGTGTAAGAGGTATGGAAAGATGTTAAGTCTTATCAAGGGCACTAACTCCCAAACTTACACGGAGGGCAGCACGTGCACGCAGCATGACAGAGAACAGACTTTGCTTGGAAATGCAGCTTGTTGGGCACCATAACTTAAGCACCTTATGAACACCATAATTCATCCATACAGAACCAATACAGCACAGGAAAGGCAAGGCTTGTAGGAGAAGACAGTATCTTTCATTAAGCTAGCAGATAGCTTAGTTGGGAAAAAACAAAACAAAACAAAACGGCAAGCTTTCAAGCATACAAGCCGTTTTTAAAAACAGAAGTCACAAACTTTAAGTACAGACTGAGAATATATTTTGCCTCACTTAAGCCTTTCGGATAAAAGGTTTGTTGTTACAGCTGAGCTGACCTAATGGCTTCTTGGTGCTGGGAGGTTCTGCTCCCTCCATGGTCCGTATTTGTCCCTTCTGCTTGCCCTGGCACTTATCTTAGTGAGTTGGCTCAAGTAACTAAAAAGGCAGAAAATGGATTATTCTTTCCTCTAGAGTTATTTTGATGTCAGTTCAGCTGCCTGAACTGGGTTACCAGGAGTTCAGAGGAGCACGAGCGCTGGCACAGGGAGGAGGAAGAAACATACAAGGAAAAAACCAGGTGCAGGACTGTACATTCCAGTGGCCACTAGCCATTAGATTGGCTTAGCTGTAATGGTAACACACTGTTAGAGCAGATTTTTAACAACACTGTTACTAAAACACTGTATGGCGTAATTGCTGATTTACTAAAAAAATACAATTTAAAAGAAAGAGAGTAAAATGGTGACAATAAGTACAAGTTTTGTCTCCAGATCACCGGGAGCCTACCTCTCCCATCTCATCATCCCAGCAACTACTTCAGTGGATCTACTCCACTGTGCTTCCAGAAGGGGGGAAACCAAACTTCTTGCGCCTTTTAAAAACAAAAGAAAACTCTTCACCTCATTAACAAGGCAGATTCAATAATTTTCTTAGTGTGACATCTAGTGTCAGACACTAAGCATGGTTCAGGCAGTGGCTGCTACTAATCCAAAGGCATTACAGATTCTGTTGCATAGATGAGTATCACACCTGCCTTGTGGCAGGGACCGTGGTAAAAATCAGTTCAAAAACCACAGACATTTTATTTAGAATACAAAAACCATCACCAAAACAATCACTGTTAGTGATTTAACTAACAGTTAGTTAAAGAGAGGTAAGATTATATGGAAACTACCTTATTATTAGAAACTAAGATCAGCTATGTTAAATCAGGGTTTGAAAGATAATGAAACCAAGATCCTTGGAACAACTATTTCAGCTCAGACATAAAGAGAAAATAACATAGGAAAGACATTTTTTACAGCAAGAATAATCATTCACTGGAACAACCCCCCTTGGGATGTGGTAGAGCCCCCATTGCTGGGGGTTTTCTAAGATGTGACTGAACAAGGTGCTAGATAATCTCATCTAGGCGCCCTTTCCCACAAAAGCTTGGACTAGACAATCTTTCAAGGTCCCTTCCAATCTGGGCTGTTCTGTGATAACGTTTGTTGAAGGCTGAATGTATTTGGTTAGGCCCTTAAGATGTTATCTAGTTCACCTCAGACTGTGTCTGCTCTTTTTACAGAGTACAATTTTGAAGAAAAATATAAGGAATAGTAAATATTTGTCATACTTAACCAAACAAGCAGCTGTGTTGTACAAAGATAAGGACAGAGCAACAGAAAAATCACATACCGAAAGTGTTGCTGATAAGTCTAATTCCAAGAAAGCAGCTTTACTTATACCATTTGCTACACTGAAGGAATAAGCAACATTGAAATGGACTGGATCATGGGAAACCTATTTTCTAATGTAGAATAGGAGATGAAACATTCGTTCAACTGCTCAGATATTAAATGGAGTAACTTGAAGGGGAATAATAAATATTTAATAAAAAGAGGAAAGCTTAGGGAAATTCCCAACAGATTTATTTTTTTTTTCTCTCTCTGTCTGCCTCTAGGAATTATCATACTGAAGCAGATATATGGTATACAGTCCCACATCCTGTCTGACAGTGACAGACAGTAAATACTTCACAGGATCATGCATGAATTTCCATAATAAAGAACTAGGAAACAAGCCCTCTATATCAGGAATATAAACTATTACCCGCTGCATTGATTTCCTGAAACAAATCTAAGATTATCTATGTGTTCTTCCAAGTTACCTTGAGTTCAGTAAATCAATGTCTGATTTAGCATCCCCAGTTATGATGTCACAGAAAATAAATTTAAATGTTGTCCTAAAGATTTAGGATCCAATATCAGACTCAGGATACCATATAAGGAAAGAAAAAACCCAGAAGAAAAATCTGACTATGGGATGGAAGAACGTACATTTGATTTCTGCTTAATTAAAAGTTTATTTTATTTAATAAATTCACAGAGGAAAGTTCAATCCAAAATTATTAGCTAGTAATAAGGGAACTCAACCCTAACCTGACCCGAGGGTCAGGAAGTCTAAGTTGTAGATTCCAGGAAATGGAAAAAAAAGGGAAGTGCTGCTTTACACATATCCGGTTTTAGGTTTTCTCCCAATTGCTCTTGGTCACTGCCAGAAACCAGACAGTAGATGGGCCTTCAGTGTGACTTAGTGCAACCATTCTCATGTAAAATTAAAATTATTTTTAAATTTTCTTCTTCCTTTTCTGCATGTGGATGCTCCTTTGCCTAGGCAACCTGACCTGTTCCAACTGTGCTGATTTTTAAATAATACTAAGTCTAAAAATATATATACATGGTGATGATACGGCTATTCAAAACAGGCAACATCACACAACCTCATCAAGTCAGGCTGCCTAGACAAAAAACTTGTTTGCTTATTTACACTATGTGAAGATAGTTGTGATGCTGATATAGTAAGATGGTATGTTAAGAAGTCAGTATCAATTAAACATGAGTTTTTAATGTATGTGAAACAAGATGTTGTATGGCTTATATAAAAACGACATCGTATCATTAAAAAGTCCATGGAAATCCACAGAGATATAATACTGGCAGAAGGTTTTAAAGACAAAAGCAACAAACAGGTGTAAAAAGGTATGTCTTGTTTACCAAGAAGGGATACAACACACATTCTTGTTTGTCTCCCAAACTTTTTCCAACAGCATTCATCATTTTCAGGCAAGCTCACATCAGTCGCGCAAGAAAATACCTATGGCCATACTGCCCCTCAGAAAATGTATATACTTTGTGACACTAAACCGATTGCTCAGTGAGGACAAGACTTCTAAGCAACAGAAGACGTTTGGTAACAAATAATCTCGTTACTCACAAACAACAATAGAATATCTATTTGATAGAATACTATTTATTGCAAAAGCTAAACAGAATATGACTATGTCACAAGCAAAAACTGAATGACGTGAAAGACCTCAGTTCCAAGAAACCCATCATTGCATCTATAAAAACGAACTGAAGAATTCATCAGCATTACAAATCCAACTGATCAACAGTAAAATTACTTTTATGCACATAAATTTTCTTCTTTAGGTATTTATGCTAAGCCAAATTCTTTTCAGAATGCTGTTGTTATGATGGTCTGAGAATGTAATAGAAGCAAGGCTGGTGGAAGAACCTCCTTCCCTGAATGTTCTTAAAAGATGGGTAGATGTGGTGCCTAGGGACATGGTTTAGTGGTGGTGTTGGCAGTGTTAGGTTAATGGTTGGGCTCAATGATCTTAAAGGTCCCTTCCAACCTAGACGATTCTATGATTCTAAGTCTTTGAAAGCAGTATGCTTTATTAGACCTACTAACAGTGTTAGGAAAAAAATGGGTGAAATTTTTGACACACAGGCCCTTCCTCAAGTCTGAAAGAGAAATGCTAAATTTTAAGGTTTAACTGTCTGAAAGAAAAGGTAGTTATGAACCTGAGTGTAAGTGTTACTGAAGAAAAGAGAGGAGAGGGGAAGTTCCCTCCTTCTCTGGGAAATAGACAGAAATAATTTATTGCCCATGGAACAGAGGACGGTAAGGAGAATTATTTAGCCGTATATGGGATCATAAAACCAGTATCTTTGTCGAGTCCATTATCGTTAGTAAATAGTAATTAATTTTAATTCGTAGGTTCATCTTTTGAAGGTGTTTTGTGGATCCTTTATGAGAACTGATTAGTTAACAGCTTAGCAGCTGTTTTGTGAGAAATCATTTCCCACTGGTAACTACATATTTGCATGCTTCGCTTTTTGTGTGTTGAGTTTTCAACGTGTAATGATTAAGTTTACCTAAAGTTTTCACAAGGACATGTTGTACTGATGTACTATTGGAAATAAAGAGTATAGAGAGAGGGATTATAGTGCACATGTTTCAATATGTTGTTCTACTCTCTGAATTCCGGTGTGACAGCTTAAAAGCTTCACTGAGTGTCAGTGAAAACTGGAATTACTTACAAGAAGTGAATTCACATTGTACAGGTAGAAGTCATGGTGTATAAACCACAAACATGCATGTGCATGAATCTGGGTTAGAGTGCTTGGACTTCAACAACCATAAGACTTTGGCTGATAGTAATTGTATCAGATTATGTATCCTTTCCGTGAAGAAGCCACAGTGAGGTAATTCACTAACTTTACAAACAAGTTCATAATCTGATCCACAGAAATATTTATGTGCTTTGACAGTTTAAGAATGTCCTTCCTCCTGTTAAAAAAAATCATGATTGCCAAGGATATCAGAACAAAACTGTCTATGAATCGTTAAGAGACAACACTAAAGTGTCTACTGACAGATGAAAATTACGATTTGTTTCCGTGTACTTTACTGATTGAACACTTACCCACTGTGGCCGAAGCTGATGACAGGAGAGACTTTCCCCAGGTACCCCAAGCTCCCCATCTACTTGCTTTAGATGAGGAGTCTGTGGCCTGTAAGAACAAAAATATTACTCCACTGTCTAAAATTCCAAAGGCAGGAGGAAACACAAAGAACCTGTCAGAAAACAAAGTCTGGCATTTAATAAATGATGGTACCAGCAAAAATGGTTGTGCCATTGCTTACAAGGGTATACATATGAAGGTATATATCATATATATATATATGCTTACAAAGGTATATATCTGAAAATAGGCCCTTTGTAATATAATACTCAGCTTCTCTAATCATGGTGATGCCTTCTGAAGAATGATTCTCAAGAGACAGAACATAGAGAGAAATAGCCTAGAATGATCACTGACAAAAGCTTTGCCGCCAGCTCCTCTGACAGACGCTTAAGCTCTTGTACAAAGTAGTCCTTGCATGAAAGGTGTCATTCTTATGGCACTGCAGGGTTGTTACTGTTCTCACCCTTTCTTCGCCCAGGAAGAAACTAATGTCATCAACCTCACTCTGATATCTGTGAAACTGATCATTTGGCTGTTTCAATACCAAGTGAAATAGGCTAATTTGAACAGCCTTCTGTGGTGGGTTAAACTAAACTTGCAGGCTTTGACTGAAAGACCCCACAGTAGGTTCTGTGGGCTCTACTGCAAAGCATGACTTCCAGCTGAAGATTTATAGTACCTGGTCAGGAAATACTAATACCAGTGCACACATCTGTGCAGTGAACACATGACTACAACTTCAATGTGAAACAAGAGCATCCATATGGAGAATTAGTTAAGAATCTGGTGTCACACAAAACTAAAACTTATTTCACATACAGTGTTCCTCGGCAGACATGACCTTCTCCAGCTTTATTATACTGACTGATTTATATATTGCCTTTATGTTCACAGTTTGGTCACTGAAGCCAGATTTTTAAAGATCTTTACATTATCAACGGTGCAACAGATTCTTAATGGGACCCTAAATGCTTATGGCCAATGCTACCTTGGGTATTATGTGGAGTTCAAGCTTCTGCACACAAGCAAGCAGAATGGGAAGCTTAGTTCAGATCACCTATTCCTGAAAGCACCTAAAACTCCAGAGGTGTCTTTACAGACGTCCTAATATTTCTTCAGGCACCCGATCCTATAAAGCCATACAAATTTGTTAGGGTTATTATTAGGGGGAGGCAGGAACCCATCTCCCTCCTGAGTTCAAGTGGGAGCCAGAGTTAGAGGCTTCTCTGCCTGAGTCTCCTCAGAAGTGTAACCCAGGAGATGTGAACAGGGAACTCCTAACAACTGAGTTCAATAAAAACACAGCCAGAGAAGGTGATGCCCACCTTTTACTTTAATGTGTGATATCAAGCAATTATCAATATTCTATATTTAAACCATCTTAAGAAACTGTTGTGTCAACAAAGTCTCCAGTAACATATCGTCACACAATCAACTCCAAACCAAAAGCTGAAGTATCCCAAGACAGCTCTGCATTATGCAGTGTACAGATCCCCTGTCACCTCTTCAACGCAGGTCCCTCTTGCTGGTGGAGGGACTAAACCAATGTGCTTTAACCTTTTCCAATTTGTAGATGTCTGAAAATTTTCCAGTGGAGATGAGAAAATCTTCAGCTATGTCCCGTGTATTGGATTTGGATGATGTGTAGACTGTAAAAAAGCCTTGATTTTCTTAGTTTTCTTTTATTAACTTCTTAGAATTACTCACAGGACTCCCAAAGGTCTCTGGATCACGAATCAAAAACTACTGGCTTAGAACAAAAGAAAAACTACTGGCCATTTCACCAAGCCTTGTGAAACATAAACTGTTTTTTTTAAAAGTAAATTACTTGAGAATCAGCAAGTACAAGATTCAGTGCTGCATATGCAGCTTAAATTCTGTCCTCTGCGTTCATTCTGTGAAAGGAATGAAGCAGATATGTACAGAAAACCAAATAACAAAATCACAGGAGTATTATATCTATACAAAATGGGCTAGAGTCTTAATAAGATTTAGGCTCTGGTATAGTTTTATTGCAGCCAGGCTAGAAAGACCAAATTAATACCATACTGGCAAGGAGAAATTCAACTGTTCCTAGTTTCCAAAAGCTTGGTGTTGCAATTTACTTACTTTATTCCTGTGCAAGTTCTCTGTATATAACTCCCTAGGTTTTTGTGAAAAACTGTGTGTCAGTGGTACAAAATCTGTCCTTAAAAAAGCAGGGAAGGGAGGGCTTTTATGGAAAAGAAATTATTACTTACTGGACTGCTTTGTTCATGCAGTGTTTCTTCAGATTCAGGTTCTGCATCAAGGTTTACAGTCTCAATGCACTCAGTGGGCATGTCTTCAGTCACCTCTCCACTGGAAGGCAGACTTTCAATTATTTTTTCAGTCAAAGGGTTTTCATTAATAAATATGTCTCCTTCCTCTCCATTCCTGGCACTCTGAGTGGCCTGTCCATGTTTATCTTGTGAAGACTCATGCAAGATCTCAGCTTCCACGGGGTGTGGTACTGACTCATGAGGCGATACCTCATTGCTGAACGTTTCTGTTACTTCAGGTTTTTCTTCAGATGGGATGCCATCACATACATCTTCAGACATTTTCAATTCTGAACATAGAAAATAAATAAAGTCTTTTAGATTCCATAAACATTTGAATGACTACAAAATACACTGCATTTACCATAAGCTATCACTGAAAAACAACACAGCTTTCATGTAAGACCTTCTGAAGCATGGAGCCCTGTTGGCACATGCATCATGCTGGCACCAACATCACGATGATACTCCGAATACTCTATTCACCTTGCAGGATCTCACTCAAGTATGAAGAGCAGCATTACTGTTTCTCAAAATATGAACTGGTGAGGGAGAAATTATGTTCATTTGTCTGGAGAAGTCAAATATAAGAGCTTCCACATGGTTAATTCCTGTGTTCCCTATTAGATGTGTACAAAAGACCACTGGAGAACAGCTCTCATTCTCATCATTTCCACATACACAGGTCCCTATAGCCTGCTGACTGATGGAGAGGAAGATGACAAACACAGTGTGACTAAAACTGTGGAGGTATCTGTGTGTTGGAGAACGGGCATAATTTGAGAACAACAAGTCACGGTCCCTGCAGCCATTTCAAACAGGAATCATTCATTGCTCACACCATTTCTGCATCACTTGTTTCAAAGGCTTATTGTTTGGGGAGTACAACGCTTCTCACTTGCTCCTAAAAGCTCCAGCTGTGTGATTAAACTTCAATTTTGAAGCCAAAGTAAGCTTGCATGAGATACAGTGATTGATTTTTTCTTTCTTAAGTTACAACTCAGTTTTCTCTTACTTACTTCTTATCTTCCAGTGTAACTTTCTTTTTCTAGAAGAAAAAGACCACTGTGCAGTCATCAGGTTGAGGATCCAGGAAGGGATAGAAATGGCCACTGAGCAAGCTCTGCAGCTGATTAAGGAGCGGCACTGGCAGAGTCCAAAAGGACTACTATGCAGTGATTACTACCACTTACTTGTTGGCAACAACAGTATGCCTGGCACTCTACTCAGAAGACAACCCTTGACAGAGAGTTGTCATTGCAAGCTCTTGACTATATGCTGAGTTGCACGGCATAAAATAAACTCACACAGTCCTCTCAGTAGACATTATCTTTTCATTGACTCCCATATTAATTAAATATGGTTCAAAGCTTTGTACCTGTTAGGAAGGACTGAGGTTCTAAGACAGACTGAAGAACGTGGAAAAAAAGAAAGGCAAAAAGCAAAATATAACTGGAATTTAGGAGAAGTTCACCTGAGAAGCATGTATTTAAATTAGTATATTTTATGAAAGCCTACAGAATCATGTACATCTGTGGCTTTAGCAGCCTGTTAATCTAAGTTGAATTTAGACCAGCTGTTTGAACAGTTCCAAGAAAAGCATTTGGGATCCATGAATAAGAAACATAAATACACAAATAAGCACTTGGTGCCACTTATATTACTTTAGTTTACACTGTAACTTAATCATCTTTAGAAAACATGCATTTACAAGTCAGAATCTTTGCATTTGCCACAAGTATTTGCAGTTTTCCATTACAAATATAGCAAATACTATAACATGCATTAGTGCAGGTAAATATTTCCATTGTTTTAACAGTACTCACTATATGATAGGCAGCATCACCTAAAAAAAAATTTGTATTTGGAAACCAAATTCTACCATCAGATATGAGGTTATTCTACCAAACCCTGTAAAATATGTACACACACACATTGTAATTTTGCACGGGGATTGGATCTCAGTCAGAAAATGCCCTACACCGGTACAATTCGTAAAGGACGACACACAGAGGTGCACATGAATTTCTGCAGGACTGTGTCCTCTTTGGGTACCACTCGGGCCAAGGTACCCGCAGCTCTCTGCTAAACCTTCCTCACAGGAGCAAAGGAGGTAACAGTGAACTACCACAACATCTGTCTGAAACCACAGCCACGTTTGACCTGGAGGGTCACCCCTGAGACTCTACTGATCCAAATCAACCCAGACAACCCTGCCTAAAGGGAATTACTCTCCACAGGTATTCATGAGGGGGGGTGAAGGCTTCAAAATGGAAGAAGGTAGATTTAGACTAGGTATTAGGAAGAAATTTTTCACTGTGAGGGTGGTGAGACACTGGCACAGGCTGCCCAGGGAAACTGTGGATGCCCCATCCCTGGAGGCGTTCAAGGCCAGGCTGGATGGGGCTTTGAGCAACCTGGTCTGGTGGGAGGTGTCCCTGCCCGTGGCAGAGGGGTTGGAACTAGATGATCTTCAAGGTTCCTTCCATCCTAAACCATTCTATGATTCGTTGAGGGAGATGCCAAGGCCAGCCCGGGGCCGGGCGGCAGGCGAGCC